AAACTGGATAGGAATAGGATTTAGAGGGGAATAGGCTTAGAGTACTTCCTGAAATCATGCGATATGGAACATGTATCATTAGTGATACTTGCAAGGACAGAAGGTATGATGTGGCCAACTCACCTCAGAGAGCTCACTGCCCAACATTAAAAATACTAGTCAGTGGTATTCAGAGAAGACTGGCTTAAAGATACTATTTGTGGCTTCTCCCTTCCGGTTAACGTGCTGTGGAATTAAAGTGTGGCATTTGTGGCCTTGTAGTAAGGCAGATCAGACTTGTAGTGATACAAGTCTGCCAGAGATTAACTAAAAAGTAAGACCCAATTCACCAGTCCAAGAAAAAATTATAAAATATCCAAGAACATATACTTTCTTTAAGCCCATGGCATGAAAGTACATCTGCCCAAATTTCTACTTCAGGTAAACCAATCATGGTCATTCTCAGTAACCTCAGAGGAAGTCACAAGGTGTGATGACTTGCAGGGTAGTTGAGGCGCAATAGTAGTACTCAGCCAACTGATGCATCCAGAACATACTTCTGTTCCCAGCAGTTTGTAGTTCCTTATCTAATTGATCAAACTTCCTGAGATATATAGCAACATTTTCTTAAAGCCATATTTAAGAGCCTTGACCTAAATAATGATACTGCTACAAGTGACAACTAGTATAAACTTTCCTTAATGTTCTTCTCCCCCAAGTTTAAAGCTTAGTTTTTGGTGATATAACTAACAAGCAGAGTTGGAACTTCTGCTGCTTGTTGACAGGGAGGGGAGCTGTGTTTTTGTAAGATCTTAAATCAATAGCAGCGGCCCGGGGCTCACAAGATTTTTAATGCTGAGCCTCCATAATTAATGTTGATATAAAATAAAAAAATAATATGGTATTCCTCAGTTCTGCATTTGAATTTATAGGTTTTCTAATTAGAGAAAAATATGTTTTAGAATATGAATTAGACAAGCTTGGAAAATAGAGACAGGGAGAAGATTTAGTGGATATTCTCTTTCTGGGATTAGAAGGAAAATACCTCATGCTGTTTCCAAGAATTGTGAGTCCTCACATTATGTGTGCTCAGAAAATTCACTCTCAAGTAGCATTCAAAGTTATTGTTAAGTCTTCCTTTGAATTTTACAAAGCATGAAACTCTTTTAAGAGTTTGTCGTATTTTCTACTTTAGAGATGCTAGATGATATTTTGAACTGCTGTTTCATCTGTTTTAAATTTTGTTAACAATATGCTACTTAGCCTTTCTTTTTCTCTAGTAGGATAATGTATTCCATTCCTGGGAAGTGATCACAGTACCTCTTGTTTAATACTCAGGATGAGGATTCTTTGGGATAAAGTCACCACTATCTACTTAGAGTGTCGCTGCCTTCCCAGGCTCAGATATAACATATTTTGGAATTGGCTGTACATGGGGCAGGTGGGACATTAAATTCGTCTGCCCCACGGACTTTCTTCCTCTTCACTTTCCTATCATGTGCCTTTGCTGCAGTCCCGTGGTGAGTGCCAGGCTGGGCTGTTGCATGCTCAGGGGCACAGGCGGCACGGGAGGGTTAAGAACAGAGCATCGCTGCAGCTGAGCACCGACCATTATGGCAGCAGTGCTTTCAGTTAGTAATGAACTTCATGTTCCCTCATTTTCTGTCTTTTGCAGATAATTGCAAATGATAGCTGTAAATCCACTGCAATTTTGAAGTTCCTATGAGATTCATTTTACTCTTGTGCTTTACAGGTATTTTAGGGTTGCTGTTCTTCCTTCCTCAACTGATGTCAGCTGTTTATTTCGAACAAAAGTCCATCCACCCACAGAATCTGTGCTGTTCAATGATGTGTTCAGAATGGCCATTTCCCAAGCAGCCTTGCAGCAAAAGACACTGAGAGTTGATCTTTGCTCTGTCAGTAAACACCGCAGGGAAGAATGCCTGGTAGGAGTCTTCATCTAAGTGCCATTTTCAGATAACGTGTATGATCAGATATTCTGAGAATTATGTTGTCTAGTTGCTGTTTTGCCAGCTCTGAAACCACTGTGGACTTACCCAACACCTTAGGGTACACCTAATGGTTGTTTCATTTCTTTTTTCCCAAAATAGTGATTTCTGTTGTTTCTCATAGTCCAGATCTTTAAAATCTGCTTATAATACGTAATCTTTTAAAATAAAGCTTGACTTTGCATTTCTACCTTTTGATTACAGAACTTTTACCTCTATTATGATTGTCACTTAGGGAGCATACTTATTAGACAGGAGCCTGAGCCCAGCGCTGAGTGCTCTGTGTGCATTACCCCTTTTAATCCTCACAACAATTTTATGAAAGATCCGTTATGAAAGGTGTGATCATCCCCTATTTTGAGATAAAGAGCTGCTTAGAAAGGGTCACAGACCTAGTGAGTGATGGAGCCAGGTGTGAAAAAGACATCCCACACATAATTCACTGGTACAAATAAAATTAAGCAACATGCTGAGGCTATAGTTCTTTTATTTACCTCAGTTTCCTTGGCTATGTTTTTAGAGCTGACAGAATGAAGTGCTGCTGTATAGAGCAATATTTATTTACATGCTACATTAGAAAACATTGGAATTATTAATAAGTTTAGCATACTGTTATACATAGTAAGTAGGAAACCCATCATCTACAAGAAAGTTACGTGGGTGTTCCAATGCAGGATGTAGAGGTGGGCTTTTGTGGTCAAAAATGATGCTAGCTTCCTGCCACGCTTTTTTTTTTCAGTCCAGTAGGAAGCACACTCCCTTTGTGATGAACAAAGTTTAAAAGGGTGATAGGTTTCTTCTTCATTTTGTCTTTGTTTACTTGAAAAAAATATTTGTAATTTTGCCTAGTAATAGAATTAGAAGGCCGGCCAAATAGCTCAGCACCTGCTTAGGCAGAATGCTGGGGTTTAATCCCTGGCGTGCTGTGCAGCCCCACTCCCAGTGCACACTGAGACAGCTATTGAGACTGGGCTTGTAATCCCAGCTCTTGGAAGGCTGCAGACAGGTGGATCACTACGAGTCCAAACTAGTAGTGAGACCCTGAACACCCTGTAGACCATTCCTTAATATACAAAAAAAAAGTATAGTTGAATTTAAATTCTGGCTGTATTTGTTGTGGAGAAGTATGAAAGGCCTTTAACCTTTACTTTTTGTTTTGACATTACATGAATTTACATATCAAAAAATTTATTCCTTTCTCATTCAAGAAATAAAGTGAAATTTTTATTTATTCTTTTTTTATTCTTAATTTTTTTCCAGTAGATAATAATTTTTTTAAGTAATAATCACATCCCACTCATGACACATTGTAAAAAGTATTATGGTTTAGGGTTAGTCAGTTATTTCATTTAAATTAATTCCCTTTGGGGCTGGGGAGATGGCTCAGTGGAATAAGCGCTTCTCTGGCAAGCGCAAGGGCCTGAGTTCAATCCCTGGTTCCGCAAAAAAAAAAAATTAATTCCCTTCATCATTAGGTACGGGCAAAAATTGTATCTGACAAAAGAATCCTAGGATTGGTTTTTAGATTGAGATTTATTTCTTATCAAGTCACAACTAAGAGTAAAAAGAAAAAAATAAGTGCTTTATATTATGAGTAAAGTCAACTCCCCTAATAATCTTTATTGTATCAGAGGGAACAAATATTAATTTAAACATTTGATTTTCTTTAGTCATCTTTTTTGTTTGTTTATTTTCCTATAGGCTGGAACTCAGATCAGCCTGGCAGATTTACCATTTTCCAATGAGATTTTTGCTCTGTGGTATAATTTACTCCCTTCTAAGCAAATGCCCTGCAAAAAGAATGAAGAAGAAAGTGAGGACTCTGCATTTCAATCCGACCAGCCATTAGTAGATTCTGTAGATTTGGTGAGTCAAGTCTTCATTAATAATGTAATGTGAAATGAAGAATGTTGAGAGACCAACAGTTTTCATTCACTCTCACTATCCTTCTTTTTCTCCTTTCACTGCTTCAGTCTTTGCTATCAGCCTCCAAATATATATATACATATATGTATGTGTGTGAATATATATATGTATATATATATATATTTATATTTATATTTCTTATCTTTGTTTCAAGTATGATTTATAAAAAGATCACATCTCCTTCTATGAAAGAAAGCGCATGTGGACCCCTTTTTGTTTTTTGTTGTTATTTTGGTTTGGTATTTTTTGAGAGAGGGCCTTGTCATGTAATACAGGCTGGCCTTGAACTCAGAGTGGTCTTCCTGCTTCAGCATCCCAAGTGCTGGGATTAAGGTGTAAACCACCACACCTGGCTCCTTTATGATGTTTTAAATGACCAGGGAAAACCTTTTTAATGTATTTGGTACAGGGTCTCACTGTGCAGGTCAGATTCATAGTGATCTTCCTGTTTTCACCCTCCCTAGTACAGGGATTACAGGAATGTGGCAGGTAAGCATGGCATGCGGTACTGGGAATTGAACCTTGGTCTTTGCGCTTACCCAGGCAGGCACTTAGACTGCTGAGCTATCTCTGCAACCCCAGGGAAAACTTTTTGATGTAAATTTATATTTTTTTGTGTCATGTTCACATATTTGATTCCATTTTCAACTTATACATTTGACATTCTCATTTTTCAAGTTTTAAATTGTTAATCTGAAACAGTATGTTAATTTTCCATTTGTAACATCAGTATCCCTAAGTAGTTTTTTATTAAAAAGTTTGTTTTAACTAAGTCATACTTCAGTGCGTCAAAGATTTACCAAGGGGATTTTTTGTGAGGCCATTTATCTCTGGTTTAGTACTTGTGGATATTACCACTGAGTGCAAATTATTTTAGATGGCCATCAACTGAAAGAGAGGCTCCCAGAAGCAGTCACTCCTCGTTCTAACTCCTTTCTACCAAACCAACCATTTATCTTCCTTCTGTGTAAATATACTTACTCTGGACATTTTATAGAAATGAAATAATGCAATATTTGTTGCTTTGTGACTGACTTCTTACACTTACATGATGTTTTCAAGGTATATCTATAGTGTAGCAATGTTAATATTTCATTCTTTTTTTCTTTCCAGGAGAGATTCTGTTACCAAAAATACTAGTTTGTTTAATCCATTAATCAGTTCATAAGCATTTGGGTTTTTCTACTCATTGACTTCTACTTTTTATTTTTTTATTATAAATAATGCTGCTGACAGTAAAACGGCTATGTTGGTATGGCTATCAGTTTTCACTTATATTGAGTATGTTTTGGGAGCAGAATTTCTGGGTTGTATATGTTTAACATTTTGATGGACTGTAAACTATTTTCTTGGTGCTGTGAGTTATCTGATACTGTGTATTCTTTTTTGTAGTCCTGGGGGTTGAGCCCAGGGCTTTGCACATGCAGGAAAGCATTCCATTCTATATATTCCTACAAGTTCTTTATACGACAAATGATTCACAGATATCTCCTCCCACTTTTCACTCCCTTGATTTCATTAGTACCAATTTTAAATTTTGTTGTAAGTATGGTTTTTCTGTATTTTTCTTCTACTGCTTGTCCTGTTGGTATCATGTCAAAGAAGACTTTGCCTTACCTAAAATCACAGTGATATCTCCTGTGTCTTAATAGCATTTTAGTCTTTCATGTAGATGATGTCTGGTCCATGAGTTGTTTACATATGATATGAGAAAGAGGTCCAGGTTTTCTTTAGTATATGGATGTACTATGTATTCTAAAAAAATATCCTTCCCCCTGTTGAATTAGTCAGTTGACCTTAATGTGAGGGTTTATATGTCTGGACTCTCAATTCTTTTTAGTAATTCTTATGTCTATACATAAGTCAGTACCATACCGCCTTACTTACTGTAGCTTTGTAATCATTTTGAAATCGGAAATTGTGAGTCTTCTGATCTTGTTTTCCATTTTCAAGATTATTTTGAGCTGGACAGAGTGCACATTCCTGTATTTGCAGCTATTTGGGGGCTGAGACTACTTAGGAGTCTAAGGCCATCCAGTCAATACATATAGCAAGACCCTGTTTAAGAACAAAAAAGTTTTGGCTGTTCAGGACCCCTTTCATTTGCATATAAATTTTAATTCTTCCCAAATAAAAAGTTGGGATTTTGATAGGGTTAACACTGAATATGTAGGTCAGCTTGGGAATAGTGTCATCATAGAAACTCACAGATAAGAGTTGGCTTTGAGTCTCAGAGATTTTAGACTTGGGCTTTTCAGGAATACTAGAACTGTTAGCACTCTGATGACTCTAAAAGATAGATTAAATGCATTTTTCATAATGAGTTGAACATTATTCTTTTGGGGACCAAAAGCAGAATGTTAAGATTTAGATCTCAAGTGTCTCAAAATTTTCTATTGAAAGATGGAGCTTTAGGAAGGTGACTAGATCATGAGGGTGGTATGTTTCTCAGTGTGTCAGTCACTGAGGAGTTCATAGCTGACTGTGATGTTTAGAGGGTAGACCTTGTCACCAGAGGGGTAGTCCCTGGAAGTGTGAACTAGAGTAGTGTGTTCTTCTCCTAGGCTCCTCCCCTCTCTGTCTCTGCTTCCCACCCACCATGAGATGAGCAATTTTTCTCCACTGTGACTTTTTACCATACTGTTTATTCCTTGGAGCCCTCTAACAATGGACCAAACTTCTAAAACTGTGAGCCAAAGTAGATCTCTCTTCCTTTAAGTTGTGGATATGGGTTATTTTGTCTAAGAATGGGAAAGTCACTAATACAAAAGGGATTTATAAATAAGTACATAGAGTTGATGTGAATATTCCGGTGAACTGTCACAAAGCAAACACGTCCACATATATACTATCCAGGTCAAATTTACATGTATTACTATCACTCTAGAATCTCCCTTGTGCCTCATCCCAGGCATTATCAGCCTCCCCTAAACACAGTCTGTTTTCTGAATTCTATCACCTTGAATTAGTTCTGTCTGTCCTTGTATTTTACGTAATACATCAGTATACTTTTATGACTGAAATCTTGTTGATATTGATATTATTTTTGTGTGAATCATCTTAGACTATAATTATAGTTCATTCATAATCATCTATAGCATTTTATTATATAATTGTATCACAATTTATCCATTATGCTACTAATGGACTCTTGAGTTTTTACTAATTTGCAGGTTATTGTCCATAGTGCTATTATTAACATTCTTATACAAGCAGGGTGTTGTGGCACACACCTATAATCCAGACACTTGGGAGGCTGAGGCAGGAGGATCATTGCAAGTTTAAGACCAACCTGAGCCACAAAGTGAGCTCAAGAACAGCCTGAACTGCATAGCAAGACACTGTCTCAAAAAGACAAAAGGAAAAAATGGACACCCAAAGTCTCATGCACACCCCTTTGCCCAAAAAGCATTTTGGTCCATCTCTAAGAGTTGCCAAAGTCCCAGCTGTTTCAGTGTTGCTGAAAAGTACAAGTCCCAAGTCTCCTTCAAGATCCAAGGCAAGCTCTCAACTGTGAGCCCCTGTGCAAATAAAAAGTTAAATATATCCAATATTCAAAGGCACAAAGTCAACATTGCCATTCCAAAAGGTATACACAGGAGGATACAAACCATTGGGGACAAAACAAGTCTAAACCCCAGCAGGGCAAATATTAAGTCCTATAGTTCCATGTGGAACATCTGAAGCAATCTATAGCAAATTGTGAGCTCCATGTGGCTCCACCCTTATGGCTCTTCTGGTGGTTGTAGCTCCCATGGCTTCTCTTGCAGGCTGGCTTTCTTCCTCTTTGCAGTTTCCCTTAGATGATCTACATTCCTGGCTTTTCCAGATTTCTGGGGTTTCCACGGAATAGGCTTCTCACTTACAGCTTCATACACTGCCCTCTCAGGGCAACTGCCTGGCCTCCCAGGCCTTCTTCTGAAATTGAGGTGGAAGCCTTCTCACCCTCAGAACTCCTGCATTCTGCAAGTCCCTACAACCAACGCCACACAGAAGATGCCAACGTCTATGGACAGCTGGAGCAGTAGCCAGGCTTTCCTCTCTCTTGGCTGTAGAGGTTGAGTGCCTGGATCACTGAGCACTCTGACCCTGATTCTGAGAAATAAATTCTCTGTGCTGTATGCCCGTTCCATTCTGTAATCTGGTGTGGCTGCCGCCTCCATCCTGGAACCTGGTGTGACTGCTGCCTCCATTCAGGAACATAGGGCTCTGTGGCTTTCTCCTGAAAGCACAGTCCCTCACCCCTGAGATTCTGAGGCTGCAAAAGGGGAGAACCTGCCTCCTCCTGTGATGTCCTCAGGACATCCTCTTAACTTTTCAGGTCCTCCTGGGCAGTGGAGATCTCAGCTCTATCTTTGCAGTCCACAGCCTTCTTGGTGCTTCCTTTTTGGCCAAACTCACATTTTAGATCATTCTGCTGAGCTCTTTGCTCTTCATTCTCAACATAAATCTAAGAGCTCCCAACAATAACCAGGCCACTGCCCCAATATTTGACTGCTTTGAGATTTCCCTTGAAAGATTAATCAGTCCTCCATGTTTGATCTCAGTCTCAGGCAAAGTCTCTAGACACAGGTAAAATTCAGACAAACTCTCTGCCAAGCCAAAACACAAATGATCTGAAGTTCAACAACCAATGCAGCCCTTCCCAGCTGAAACCTCCCCAGCCTGGTCTTTACAGGCAGATTTTCTTTCAATCTTCTGGTCTGAGCTCTGACCAGAATCTTCCCTACAGAACAATTTAAGCTGTTCCAGCGCTTTGCTTATAGGCAACATCTCCAAACCTTTCCTATCTGTTCCAATAAGCCATTCCCAAAAGCTTGTAATCCACATCATCAGGTATAGCCACAGCAATGACCCCACTCCTCGTGCCAAATTCTGTATAGTTACTCTACTCTCATTGCTGGGACAAATACCCAACACTCAAAGTGAGGGAAGGAAAG